CAGGTACAATGGCAGTTAGAGTCAGAAAAGACATATTGGTTCCTGGAATGCAGTTTATTTTTCTTCCTTTAAGCTTTACATAGATAACCATCCCAAAAGAATTGGTTATTTTTCAGAAAGGACAGGTATAATACTTACATGGCTGTCAATGTGTGGGGAAAACCTATTTTTTTCTCCCTGGACAAAAAATAAGGTAATACCCTGGAAATATATTTCTCCTCTTACAAAAGGCCTTAAAATTTTGAGCACATGACTGTGGGGATGTTGAAACAGTCGTAAGTGGTTTCCTTTGCTTTTGATTATATGTTATGCTTTGATATGAAGTATGATGACTTGTGATCAGGGTTTCAAATATTACTATTTCTGCGTATCCAGAGTTAAGCCATTCACAACTTTACATTTCCAGTATTTGTTTCATTAGCCCATTATTGTAATCTAAAAATATGCAGTAGGCAAATTTTCTACAATTTAAAACTAAATATTTCTGTACTTGCCTGTGTCTTTATTTTTGAAACTTCTAAAATGTGGGAGGAGAAGGAGATATATAGTGTAGCATTAAAAACTATTAATCATATTTCTATATGTTTTTTGTAGAAGAAGCTCTTGTCTGCCTAATTAACTTAGATAACCTTATAATCTTCTTTCAGTTCCTTCTGTCAGTTTTCTTTTTAGAAACTGCCTAGATATGGGTTATGTTTTGATGTTCAAGTACAGCCTTTATAGGAAAAAGCATAGAGTTATGGTGAGGTTACTGTCTTGGAACATTTTTAATATAACTGTACACATTAAACAGCATTGGTTCCCCCCGCAAACTTGATATGCCTCTATATTCTCTATTTATTCTATATATTACATAACTTAAACAAATAAGATCCAAGACAATAAGGTGAAAGTTTGCACACTGCTCTTTATTTTTTGTTTTGGAAGTACCAGGTGTAGAATTCCTGGTATCTCAGGGGCTTGAACTACACTTTGCATATTTGGTACACTTCATTTCTACGTTCATATCTTGGAATCAACTCTTACATTTTCTTCAGCCATATCATGCTGTGCTGTTTTTTTCTCACACAAATCTACTATACGTTTTAACAGTATTTTACCATAAGATGCTGTATAGTTCATTTCTAGCTAACCATGTTAGATTTCAGCATAATATATGAATTAGATTGTATCTAATTATAAGATTGAGAAATGATTTTCTTTTTATGCTATATTTTCTCAAATGCTTCTTTCTTGAAAGCCTTTCTGTAGAATAGATTGTCTACTATTAAATGAGCAGTTATGCTCGGTTTAGCTAAATTCAGCTTTATCTTGGTGCATGTTATTTTCTCCAGCAGTAGGAATATTTTATGTACCTCAGCCCATATAAGCTGTGGGACATAGGTACCATAAAATTTAAATTCATGTAACATTTTGTTCTTTTTTTTTAACGAAATGGATATTTTTCTACTGGTATTTTAAACAAATCTTCATTCATTTTTGTTGAAATTCATATATATTTTCTTATGAAGCTCTATTGCAGCAAATATCAGCACATATCCAACTTTGGGTGATACTGGAACAGCTAAACAGGATCAGTTCAGTTAGCTGGAGGAGAGACTACCAGGAAGTCCCAGAGTTTCAGTCTATGTTGAGAAGCTTTGTTTTTTTTCTCTTAAAAACCCTCCTACAGGCATGCAGATGGTTTCTTTATTGTTACCAAAAAACAGTCTTGTAAGTCACCAGCATCAAGCTGAACTAGACAGGATAGTTATGAACCTTCCAAACCATCTAATGAAAAAGCATGCAGCATCTGTTGCCCTTTTTCCTCACAAATACTGATTTTTGTGGTGAGAAAATAATAGAAAAGGACAATTACCTTGAAGACAGTGACATCTGAGCCTCTTTGTAAAATTAATGATTGAAGTAGCTTGACTTTATAGGAGAATCCATCTCTGGAAACATCTCAAAGTCATTATTTGATTGTTGTTATGGCGCCATTTTTATTTCAAAAAGTTTTGAGAAATCTTTTGGAAAACCAATACGGACTGGAAAATATTTTGAATGCTACCGAATGCTGAAGAAAGATGATGATGGAATAATATGCCAATGTCAAAGGATATCTGGAATTTGCTCTCATCGCCTTCCCTCCTGGTTCCCTCTGCACTTTGTGGGGGGGAGATTATTTAAAATGACCTGTGGTCCCGGACTGTTTTATCTCTTCGTTCCCTCTACTGACAGAAGATTAAGCTGCAGCAGTTCATTCTCTGCCTTTTGTAAAACCATCGGCTGATGGTAATTCATGTGGGTGAGATTCGTTTCCTGTGTTCCTCAGGGCCTGGCAGCCAGTTGAATAATTCCAGGGATGAATGTAACGGCAAAAGGGAAGCACCACCTCTGCTGCTGGTTTCATCATAGCTTGCCACTCAGATCTCTACTTCCATCATTACAACTTCTGATAATGTATCTAAAATCTCCAGAAACTCTTAAGAGAGTGACTCTTGTCAACTCAGGTAAGATGATAATTGACTATGATGATGCTTTATAGACCCACATATTGTCAGATGTTTAGGAGATATTAGAATTAAATTAACCCTGAACCTGTGGCTTGATGTAGCATACATACTTTGTTAGATGGGATAATAGTTCAGAATGATTAAAATACATTATTTATCATACTGCTAACACTATACAGATAGTCCTTGACTCACAGCCACAATTGAGCCCAAAATTTCTGCTGTTAAGTGAGACATTTGTTAAGTGAATTTTGCCCCATTTTATGACCTTTCTTGCCACAGTTGTTAAGTGAATTACTGCAGTTGTAGAGTTAGTAGTACAGTTGATAAGTGAATGTGGCTTCCCCATTGATTTTGCTAGCCAAAAGTTTGCAAAAGGGGATCACATGACTTTGGGAGTCTGCAACCATCATAAGTATGAACCAGTTACCAAGAATCTGAATTTTGCTCACATGATCCTGGGGATGCTACAAAGGTCGTATGTGTGAAAAATGGTCATAAGTCCCTTTTTGCAGTGCCGTTGTAACTTTAAATGGTCACTAAATGACCTGTTGTAAGTCAAGGACTAGCTGGATATCTCTTTTGCCTCTTCTTGTAAATGGTAAGAATATCTTTGTAATGCATAGACACATGGTGATTTATGCCTTCTACTTGAAACAGTAGTGGGTCTTCATTAAATATGTAGACCAGTTAGACAGCAATTCTGTTTTTACTTTCTGAAAACAAGCTTAATTGAAGTCAATGGATTCTGGACTTAATAGAATAGAATAGAATTCTTTATTGGCCAAGTGTGATTGGACACACAATAATTCGTCTTTGGTGCATATGCTCTCAGTGTACATAAAGGAAAAACATACATTCATCAAGAATCATAAGATACAAGACTTAGTGATAGTCATAGACTACTAATAAGCAATATAATCATGAAAACACATGTTGTTTAGAAATACAGTTTAGATTTTTATTGGATAGATTCAGATACATTTGGAAGCCAGCCTTATACCAGAGATATCATAAAGCAGCACTAACTATTGTTTAGATAAATTTATGATGAAGATATATGGAATTATTTTCCATATATCTTGCTATTATTCTAAACACAAAGACATGAGTAGAGTCAAAGACAGTTTGATAACTGTAAAATGTAATTTAAAATTCTGTAAAATGTAGGTTAAAAGAATCACATTTAATTTTTAGCTAAAAGTTTCATAGTGTTCTCAGTGTTCGCTGTCCTGATGTTCTTTAATTATCTGTTATTCCTGTTAGAGAAGAATGATCTTTCACGTGAGATATACAGTGTGAATAATTTGTAAATATAAACTATTCTTTTAAATGAGATTATTGTTAGTTAGAGTTGCCCCTAAAATGGATAAAATAGGCATAGCTTTTGTTTGGAAATTTCAAAATTAATCATTCAAATTTGGGGAAATTTTTTTCTGTCCAGGAACAGTTTAGTAATATTTTTGTATTAGGTTGAATAAAGCAGTTTTGTAAGAAATTCACTGACATTCTCTAAAAGCAGCAAGTGAGAAGGCATGAGAGAGTTTCACTTTCCCCTCTGACCATGTGAGTCTTCTATAAATAGAACCAATACATTGGATAAAGTGTTCCAAATCTCTTCTCAGCTAGGACGCATCCTGAGAGCTCTTGAGCACTTTATTGCATGGAGTCCTGTCGGTTGTTTGAAACTGAAAATATTTGTGTCAATGCAGAACTGGGATGTATAAGATTTTTCCTTCTATTGCAATCAATTAGTCATCTTCAGAAGACGCTCTGTAGGTGGCCAACTCCATTCCTCCAGAGCAGATTTTTGAGGACATGGTGGGATTATAGGAGGGAAGAGGAAAATTACATTGCATGACCAAAAATCTATGGGCTAAATATCACCCGTTATGTCTTAAACTAAGCTAGTTCACATAATTAACCCATAAAAACATTAGTGGCTAGAGAACAAAAGCAGCACTTTGAATCCCTTTGACAAATATGTATAATGCAAATGTATATAAATGTTTCAATTAATAAAAATTTATAATGAAATAATTAAGACAATAATTAATTAAGTCTACTACTTTTTAATAGGGAAATTTTAAGGTTGTTTTACTCATAGCCTAAAAAGCTGTATTGATATGAAACTACAGTCAGCTCTCTATCCAAATATTAAATATAATATCTAAAGGTCTGGTTTCTGTACTATTCACTAGAAACAAAGATGATTTTAAGAACAATAAAATTGCTATGATAATAATACTTTATTTGTGGTCACAGACCAAAACACAAATACAACAAAAGAAGAACATGGGAAAATTAGTCATGAACAATTGGTCACCAAAAACTTGACTAAGGGGAATTACAGTGTTCTCCTCTGATGGTTACAGCTCTTAAAAATTTTTTGGAAACCTGAGAAGTGATATATGAGGAGCCATCCCCTAGACAATATAAGAACAATATAAGAACAAATTACTAACATTGGGTCTAGAAGGGGCTGTTTCAAGGAGAGACAGTAACTTAGATCTGCCTGCGTTATACATAGGGTAATATAAAAGGACATGCTGCACAGTTTCAACCTCAGCTCTGTCACAGGGGCATAGCCGCTCGTTAATCGGGAGCCTCTTAAATCGCTCATCCAGTAGTGCTGAGGGCAAAACATTAAAGCGAGCTAGGGAGAAAGCTCTTCTATACTTGGGAATGGTTAGAGTGTAAAAATAGGAAGCCATGCTCAGTCTGTAATTATTAAATTGGCTGAAGATCAGAGGGGAGCAAGTTTTGTTAACTCTAGCTCATAGATATTGCAAGTCAATGTCCACAAGCCGTTGGACTACCCTAAATTGGGCGTCCTTAAGACCATAATCTCCCAGGGCATCCCCCATAAAACCTAGCAGGTATAATTTCTTCATCAGCTCCCTCTCCCAATGAGAAATATGAGAGTCAGCCAATGCCAGGGAGAGGTAGCTACCAGAGGCTGCCAGAAAGAGCACCTGAAACCACCATTTAAAGGTGTTAATCCATGCCATACATTCAACTGATTGAGTGCCCAGTTCCAGGTACATCAGAGCAAAACCAACACAAGAAGGAAGACCCAGAAGTTTTCTAAGAAAGACAGTCTGGGTTCTTTCAATACAATCCTTGAAGCCCCGTATCCATATGGGAATTCCGTAGAGTCTGAGCCAAAGTTTTGGCTTTGTAAATATGCAGAGCAGAAGGAATAAACTGGCCTCCTTGGGTATAAAAAAATCTTAAAATCTGCTGGTGACTACAGGAGGCCGATTTCAGCACCTGGGTTCGATGTCTAGTCCAAGCACAGGTGTTCTGAAGTTGAATACTGAAATACTTAAAATGAAAACCTGCTTAACAGCATTACCATTGATAGCCCAGTTATATAATTTCCGGGCTCTAGGGAACACCAATACTTTGGATTTGTCATAATTAATGGACAAGTGGTTCTCAGCACAGTAAGACCCAAATGCAGAAAGTAAGCTTTTCAGACCTGGCCTTGACAATGAAAGGAGGGCCGCATCGTCAGCATAAAGGAGAAGCGGGATCTTTGTAGCTGACAGCTTTGGGGCGTGGGATTCAATACGTCCAATGTGAAAGGCCAAGTCAGATAAGAATAAATTAAACAAAAGAGGAACCAGAACACAACCCTGCCTTACTCCGTTCTTAATCGGGATAGGATTTGAAAGTTCTCCCTGCAAACCACACCTAACCTGACGAGAGGTCTGGTTGTACAAGGATCTAATTAGGAACAGAAGACGTCTATCGATAGAACTTTTGAGTAGTTTTGACCACAGCAGTCCCTAGGGACTGAGTCAAACGCTGACTTCAGGTCGATAAAAGCAGTAAAAAGTTTGCCACCTGGTATGGTAGTATATTTATCGACCAGGTGCTCTAAGACAAAGCAGTGGTCCAGTGTGGCACAACCCGCTTTAAACCCAATCTGTTCAGCACTGGTAATATTAGACTCCTCAACCCAAGTGAGGAGTCTACATTGGAGATATTTACCATACAGTTTTCCAATGATGGAGAGCAGGCTTATGGGGCGATAGTCAGCTGGGTTGTTCCTATTTCCTCATTTAAAAACTGGAACAATAATTGCTAAGCTCCAGGAGATAGGGATCCTGCCAAAGGTATTGATATGTGTAAAGTCTTGTTAAGAGAGGAATCCACCACTCGGGATTGGATTTTAGCAAATTGGGGTATAGTATCAGGGCCAGGGGCTTTGCCTGACTTGAGTTCGGAGATAAGCTCGGTAATCTCAGCATGAGTCACAGGTTGCCAGTCAGGAATTGCAGGAGGCAGCTGTGGCCCAAGCACGATCAAACTTGTTAACGCCTGGAAAATTGCCAAGAAATGGTTTTCCCAATCTCTGTTGGAAATACAGCAGAGGGGGGCTATAATAAAATTATAGATGTTAATGACCCATTCTTAGAATTTGGATGTCCAGGAAAACGATATTTAGCTTTTGGAGATAAAAAATAATATTGTGGAAAAAGTTTATTAATATTTATGAAATTACAGCCAGATTCAGTACCAAATTATTTGTGAAAGAGATATTATTTGTATCTTTAGAGCTACAGGATGTGAAAGAATCAAACCAAATACAAGTAATTTCTGAATTTCATTGTGCTTTTCTATTTCAGTTCACTTATGATAGATTTCTAGCATTGTGGCCTTTAGAGGGCTTTCACACAGGTAAACGAAAAGAACAGCGCTCAGTCATTTATGATTCTGAGTATAAAAACTAAAAATTAATGTATTCATTCCTATTTTAGATACGAATACTGCACAATCTGAAGACCTGGGCTTGGACCATGAAGATTTGTTTCTGGATTTTCCAGGAGCCAGGACACTGTGCTGTACTTTCTGCAGGAAAATTTTTCAGTGTTTGACTAAAGGAACATTTCCAAGGACATACATTCCCTATGATTATCTCTCTTGATATGACTGACTATCATAGGCCAAAACTGGCTGGTTCTGTTCTTCAAGCCTCATACCAAAGTCAAAACTGGATCGGCATGAAACAAACAATCCATTTCATGCAGTGCCCTCACTGCCTCAAATTATTTCAAGAGAAAACAGACTTAAATCGGCATCTTATAATCTGTTCACTCCAGCTAATGTCTTTTTTTGTGGGAAGGGCTTTCTTTGGTACTTGGAAAAACCTAACTACTCATAAGAAAGGTTGCTATCTAATTTTCCCACAGCCATCTGAAGAACATCTACAGAATATTGATCAAAATCAGGAATACGATCTGAAGTAAGAAAACCAGGGGTGGCATGGAATTCAGCTCTTCAGACCTTGAAATACCTAACACCTCAACTGGGTAGTGTGCACGTAGTTCTTCTTTTAACAACCATTCATTTACTACCATTACAAAGGCACTGAAAAAAGTGACTCGTAACTCGCATACACAACCGTTGCAGGAACCCCGCTGTCCAATGATCAAACTTTGGGCGCTTGGCAACTAACATGTATTTTATTCAGGGGTCATGTGATCACCATTTGTGGCCTTCCCATCTAGTTTCTGACTAGCAAAGTCCGTGGGGGAAGCCAGATTCGCTTAACAAACTGCAGGATTCACTGCTGTGTGATTCGCTTAAAAACCGGGATAAAAAAAAGATCATAACATGGGGTGCGCCTCAGTTCACAACTGCCTTGCTTAACAAAGGATATTCTGGTTGCAATTGTGGTCATAAGTTGAGGGCTACCTCTGTTTACAGTTTTGTGGTATAAATCTTTTTAATATAAAGTAAATCCTGATTAACATCAGGTACAGAAAGGGATTGTATACTCTTAGCATTTCTAAATTCTATGACCAAAATGGATAAATATGAAAGTTTTAATTTTTTTAAGGTTTGGTATGCATAATTTTTAGAGAAAACATTTAAAAGATTTTTGTACTATATTTTTACAGTTGGTTTAAATTATCTATACTACATTTTAATACTGTATGATATCAGCACTTCGCAAACCTACTGTAATTCTGCTTTAGTAGCAGTATACTATTTAGAAATACATCTACACTGATTCTTCAACAGAGTAAAAGTACATTATATTATATTTTCATTGGAACATTATATCTTGCTACATTTATTGTAAAAAATATTTTTCTCCCCCAGACCTCATGGTTATGTGTGTGCATTCTGTGTCTGTTGATGTAGGCCTACAAAATTCTGCTGGCCTTTTAAAATAAGTTAGAAAGGAAGCAGTCCATCCACCTACATGATGGTATCCAGTAAAGGGCTCCTTGTTTGACAATTAAAAAAAAAGACGTTTTGTAGATTCTTCATTTGTAATAGATTTTCTGTGAATGTGGTAGGGTGACTGCACAACACAAGCCTAATTTGAAGCATCTACAGGATGTCCTATTAAATAAGAGATAATAACCCACACAACTTATTTGTTTATAATTAAAAGAACTACAGTACTTGTTCTTTGAGGCTAGAAAAGCTACCCATAGTCATCATTCTGTATTGTGTGAACAGTGGAAGAAGTTAGAAGAATATATTGTTATTAGATTAGATTTTGTCAGGCACAAATAACAGCAATAGCACTTAGAGTTATATACCTCTTCACAGTGCTTTACAGCATTCTCTAAGCTAGGTGTGTCAAATTCAATTGTGTCGCAGGCAGATCGTGATGTATCGTGATGTTTTTTGCCTTTGTGGAGCCGGGGTGAGCATGGCCTGTGTGGGCCATCAGTTTGACAAGCTTTCTCTAAGCAGTTTACAGAGTCAGCCTCCCCCCCCCCCCAAAAAAAAAAAAAAATCTGGGTCCTCATTTTACTGACCTTGGAAGGATGGAAGGTTGAGTCAACCTTGAGCCGGTCAGGATCGAAGGAATCAAACTTCTGGCCTGCATGAGCAGAGTTAGCCTGCAATACTGCATTCTAACCACTGCACCACCACAGCTCTTAACCAGGAACAGAAGTTGAGTTCAAAGCGCTAAGAGTTTAGTTTTGCCCATCTCCTACAGATTTTTTTTATCCCACCTTTATTACTTTATAAAGAACTCTAGGTGACGAACATACATGATACTCTTTCCTCCTATTTTACCCACAACCACCAGCACCCCATGAAGTGGGTTGAGCTGAGAGAAAGTGACTGGCCCAAGGTCACCCAGATGGCTTCCATGCCTAAAGTGGGACTACAGCTTACAGTCACCCGGTTTCTAGGCCAGCACCTTAACCATTACACCAGACTAGTTCTATAGATGCAGCAAAACAGCTATAGTGATCAAATCATTCTCCCATGAGCTGTTCAGAACATCCAGTAGTGGGAGGTGCTTCAGTCTCCGCATGTCTAGGCTGGGCTTAATTTGTGGAACACTCCTCCTCCTCCATGGGACTCCTCCCCAGCGTTCCCCAGTTTTTGCTCAGCCTCGTTGTGGATAGGCAGTGCTTTTTGTTCTTCCTTGGCCGAAATAGGAGTATTATTCAGCAGGTTTGGATATAGTCCAGTTCGTTTTTTCAGGCTTTTAGCCTCCAAAGCACTTTACGATCTCCCAATGTTAGCTCTCTCCATCTGGTCATCGGAGATAATTTGCATTTTTGGGCAGCGCTGTTTCACGCCTGAAGCGGCGGGTGGCTTCGGCATTGCTCCGAGACCCCCCGCATCTGCTTGTTCTACCCCCTGCCATTGTGATTCTGCATTGCCTTCCTCTATATCGGCAATAGCGGCGTGGGCATTTTCGCTCTCATCTGAGTTGTATTTCCTGAGTTTTCCCCTCAGAATGCCGTCTTGGTGTGGAAAGCAGTAAGAATTCTTTCCGCCCCTTCCGCTGCCATTCCTTTTAGCCACAAGGAGAAGTCGTTGGAGGCATTTCCCCAGGCGGCAGGAGTTTGTTGCTGGGAAGCACGCGTGCACCAAAAATAACGGCCATTGTTTTTGCCTTTACTTAAAAAAAACAACTGCGTGGCCATGCTATTTGTAACGTGAGCTGTGTGAGGTAGTTTTCCTTCCTGATCAGAGGTTTTTCCTTCTGATAACCTAAGGAATTATTACACCTCATTTTCTTTTTCGATTCGAGGCCATCCGTGTATTATTGTTGGCTTAACCCTCGCAGTGTTACCTAGCGGCACAACAGGAGCACCCAGGCCCGTGTCCGCCTGTGCAGGGAAGCTGTTGAAGGCCTCTCTTTATTATCTTGGCCTTTCAGGCGTTCTTAATTTTGGCTGCTTGGATATTCACTCTATCAAGCTGTTTCTCTCTCTCTCTCTCTCTCTATATATATATGACTTTCATTCGCTCCAATAATAATAATAATAATAATAATAATAATAATAATAATAATAAATATTCGGTATTAATATTTTAATAAGGAAAGATATTATTACTGTGATACGACTCATATTATATATACATATATCTTAATTGAAAAAAACAAGGGGATAAGATATCAGGGCAACCGGTCCCTTCTTGGATCAGGCCCCTGGGCGTGCCAACCGCCTCAACAGTATCGCTTTGAATAACGAGCATACTGCATCTCTTTCAATTCAAAATGGCAGGCGGTAGTAGCTCTCAACCCTCAACGTCAAGGGTCAAAGCTAAATCTCAGCACAAATCCAAACAGACAAAAGGGCATTCTAAAGCTTCAGAAAAGGGTGCCAACAGGCGCCATAAAGCATTAGAAAAGCAAATAGATAGATGTGCAAGGGAAGCACACAGAGCCTCACAGGACCTTCTGCCCCCCCCAGTCCAGTACCGTCTACCTCTTCCCATCCTCCTCCTCCCCTGGATTTCTCCCTCTCATCCAGACACAGCTTGGTTTTCCAGAGTCAACAGGCCCAGTTACCTGGAACACAGACCACGCGAAGAGCTCCTGAAGCTACATTCACTCCGATGGCTGCTGGTCTTCAACAGGATGACATTCTTCCAGTGGAAGTTCCAGAGAGAATGAAGGCGTGGGTGGAGCTGGCAATCCGTCAGGGAATTGCAGCAGGTCTTCAACACGCAGTTCTGACCAGGGAACACCCGGTAACCACTGACTATGATTCTCAATCTCTAAGGTCATTGACGAGATCGGAGCAACACTATACCCAGGTACAGTTTCAGGGGGACATGCCCCTCCAGGGGCCGCAGGAGGAGGAGGAGGAGGCAGAAGAAGTGGATCACATTGATCAAATGGAGCAGATTGGGTCAGGATCAATACACGACAGTGACTCAGCCCTGTCAGAAGCAGACCCCCTAGAAAGTGGGATGTCTGAGGATGAGGGCTTTATTCCTGATCAACCGGTATTTTCAGGCTTATTCTGCCCACAACTATTCAGATCACTTTTGTTTAAGGCAAAAAACATTGCACGCCTGAACAAGTCGGGCCCTTCTACCACTCCAACTCTTTCAGAAGTGGGACCAGAAGATCTAATTTTCAACCAACCGGTCGAGGCAGATGTGATTCCAGTTCCTCACATGTTTTCAGACCTGGTACAGAAACAGTGGATGTCTGCAGTGGTGTACCCTGCCCCCACGGGATATGACAGGAAATATTTTAATTTGGCCCCTGATTTCTCAAAATTGTTGAATACTCCTGAAGTAGACGAACCTATAGTGGGATTAGCGTCCTTGTCCTCCATTCCCAGTGAAGCGCTGGAGGCATTAAAGCTGGAGGAAAAATGAGCCGAGCTTGCCCTACGCAGGGCCCATCAGTCTGACACGTGGGCCATCAGAGTGGCCACAGCCGCTTCCTTCTTTACCCATGCTGCTTTCAGGTGGCTCCGTCTCTTATGGGAGCATGTCCCTAATTCCAACATTAGAGCGCACCAAGATATTGCAAAACTTATAGCAGCTGCTTAATTCTCAGCTGATGCAGCTTATCATGCGGTCAAGTTTTCAGCCAGGGCCATTACCTCATATGTCACAGCGTGATGCTTACTATGGTTAAAACATTGGCAAGCGGACATTAAGCACAAATGCAAGCTGGCTTCATCTCCTGTTGTGGGAGACAGACTCTTTGGCCCTGCCCTCGACCTGCTGCTAATCGAAACCCGAAACAAAAAGAAAA